GGGTTTCTGGCTGTACAGGGTCTGTTATTTGAGAATCATTATATTCATTTTGTGGTGTCATATTTTCTTGGGTTTTCTAGTATTTCTGGTATTTCTAGTATTTCTAGTATCTCTAGTATCTCTATGCTGATGTCTTGTCATCTGGTAGAGCAGTTGCTGCTTCTATTACTCTGGAGTGGGCTTTGAGGAGAAAGACATCCTCTTCTTTTTCCAGTCTCTGCTGGTGACTCTCCTTGTGTCAATGCAGTTGAGTGTCTGACAGGCCACCTGCAGGACAGCTGTGGCTACTGCTGTGATGGTGAGCTGCTTTTGCAGTAGTTGTAGCTATGGAAGTGGCATGGTGTGCCACCTGCGTGGAAGTGGTGTTTTTGTTGTGCCCCTTGCCTGCTTCCAGACAGGAGATGCTGCCCTCAGCTCCTGCCTAGGACCCTGAGTATAGTTGTAGCTATGGAAGTGGCATGGTGTGCCACCTGCGTGGAAGTGGTGTTTTTGTTGTGCTCCTTGCCTGCTTCCAGACAGGAGATGCTGCCCTCAGCTCCTGCCTAGGACCCTGAGTATGTTCTGCTGCTTGCCTGCTTCTAGGCAGAAGGGGATGCCTTACAGTCCTGCCTTAGGACCCCAGGTGTGCTGTGCTGCTTGCCTGCTTCTGGGCAGAGAGGACTGCCCTTGGTTCCTGCCTTATGACCCTGGGCATGTTCTGCTCCAGACTGTCTTTAATACAGTTGCTTTGTGGTGAGTTTTGAAATCAGGAAGTATGAGTCTTTCACTTTGTTTTCCTTTTCCATAATTATTTTGGTTATACTTGGTCCTTTCCAATTCCATATATTAGAATCAGATTGTCAGCTGAGTTTCTGATGGGGATTTTGTTGAATCTGTAGCTCAGTTTGGAGAGTACTGTCATCTTAACAATGAAGTCTTTCAATTCATGAACATCAGCTGTTTTTCCATTTATTTAGATCATATTTTTCTTTCTGATTTGTAGTTTTTAGACTATAAGTTTTCATTTATTTTGTTAAATTTATTCCTAAATATTATTTAAGACTTTTTGGTGCTATTTTGAATGGAATTTTTTTCTTAATTTAATATTTGGATTGTTCATTGTATGTAAAAATTTTTGTGTATTAATCTTGTGTTCTGTAACCTTGAGGAACTTGTTTATTATTTTTAATTTTTTTTTTAGTGGATTATGTATGATTTTCTATCTATAAGATCATTTCATTTGCACATAGAGATAGGTTTACTTCTTCCTTTTGAATCCGGGTGATGTTTTTTTCTTTTTCTTGCCTAATTGCCTTGGCTAGAGTTTCCAGTACAATGTTAACTAAAAGTGGTGAGAACAGAAATCATTTTGGGGGGGAAAGTCTTTCAGTCTTCCACCATTAAGCCATTAAGTATGATGTTAGCTGTGAGTTTTTGTAGATGCCTTTCATCAGGTTAAGGTTCTAATCTTAGGTTATTCAGTGATTTTTATCACAAAGGAGTATTGGGTTTGGTCAAAAGCTTTCTCTGCATCTTTTGAGATGATCTTGTGGCTTTTGTTTGTTACTCTATTAATATTACTTTTTACATTAATTTATTTTGGGGTGTTGAATCAACTTTGCATTCCTGGGATAAACCCCAATATAATTCTTTTTATTTGCTCCTGGATTTGATTTACTAGTATTTTGTTGCAGACTTTGGCATTTGTATTCATAAAAATTATTGGTCTATAGTTTCCTTTTCGTGTGATGTCCTTTTCTGGTTTTGCTGTTAGGCTAATACTGTCTGCATAAAATGAATTGGGAGGTGTTTCCTCCTCTACTATTCTTTACAAAAGTTTGTGAATAATTGGTATTAATTTTTCATGAAATGTTGGGCAAAATTCAGTATTGAAGCCATCTGGGTCTGTGCTTTCCTTTGAGGGTAGTATTTGATTACTAAGTCAAGCTCTTTACTTGTCACATGTCTATTTAGATTGTCTATTTTACATTTATTAAGTTTCAGTAGTATCTGTCTTTCTAGAAATTTGTCCATTTCATATGTTACCTAATTTGTTGGCATCTAGAGGTTCATAGAATTCTCTTATAACCCCTTCTTTTTCTGTGAGGTGGTAGTAACGTCCCCTCTCTAGCTTCTT